GAGGCTGCCGGGTGGGGTGGGGGGGGGGAAAAAGAGGTTCAACGCTCGCCCCAACCACCCCCCGCCCCAATTCCAGCCCCGGCACGCATCCGCCGGGAAAGGGAAAGGCCACGTTCCTTCCCGGACCCCTGCTTGGAGGAAGCGCAGCTTGAAATATCTCCTCTGCGAGGTGAAGACGCGACTCGACGCGATATTCGCGGAGGAGGGCGACGTCCCCGCGCCCAGCAAAAGCACAGAGACACGGGGACCACCGCGACAGGCGATTACAGCCTTCCGCACCGCCGGCAGACGAAATGTGGCATCGTTAAGAGATCCCCTCGGGGTTAAGAGGGGATTTTTCATGCCCCCGAAGCCTTTCGTGAGAAGCCCGCACCGGCATCTACGCATTACTAATGGATTCGAGCGGCCGCGGGCACCTCTCTGGTTTCCTGAAGCGCGTTAATCGTGCCCCGTCCTCTTTTCTAAGAGCACGACCTCTTCGTGCCGCATCCCTACGCTCCTCCTTCAACCGGAGACCGTCAGGGCTGCAACAGCCGCGTCGCAGCCCTGTAGCTGTAACTACAGTGATGTGGACGGCGAGATCTTCCCCGCCGCCTGTGGCGGGGGGGGGGGGGGGGCTGCTCGGCTGCCGGAGATCGAGCTTTTTCCCCCCCGGCGCCAGGAGAGGAGATGCAACTCTTTGTTTGTGTCAATATATATTGATCTTGGCACTTTAATACCGGCTGGAACGACTGCACAGAGCCCAAGGAGCCCCGTAATCACCCACGCTCCTGAGACGGCTAATTTAGACGAGTGAATAACGAGCCAAAAGGCTGCCTGCGAGGAAGCACGCGCGGTACGTGAAATATCTTGCCCGATGGAGGAAAAGGAGACGGGACAGAAATTGCTTCGTCACGGGGTTTTTATTCCGGCGCAGGTAGAAGTTGGACGCGCGGGGAGACGGCCAGAAGAAAACCAGCAGGCAGAGAGGGAATAACTGAAAAGACGACGATATTGGTAAATATTAAATGCAAATGAGGATTGCCGCGCTCGTTTCCTTACGGAGCCCGGTCAGCCGGAGCTGTGACGGAGAAATGGGGGTCGTCTCGCCGCACTTGGCGTGACAGCAGTGATTTCGGAAGGGGGGAACGGTGTCACAGCAGGAGTTAGGAGCGACGAGAAAGGTCCCAAATTGCCTTTTTCTCTCTGCTGGCTGCAGGGGGAGCCCAAATCCCAGGCTCAGGCGCAGGCGACTGTCACGCTCCTGGAGTCTGGGGACGTAAATCCCTCCCGGAGCTTTTAATTGCCTCCTAAATCCCCACGCCGCTCCTCGATAGCTCCATTTGCGCCCCGATAACCAACGATGCGGGGCCCTAAAACTTCCTTGTAACGTCCAGGTGAAGCCCTGCCAACAGGAGGATTGCACAGAGGAGGAAAACTCGGTGTTTATGGTAACACAAACCCAAAAAGAGTTTGGTTGTCCAACTTATTTCTCTCCCGCTGGCCTGATTTCAGAGTTGGGGGTGGGGGGGAAGAGGCAATCAGCCCCCAAAACAATAACCTGCGGTTGTTTTGACCGCAAATTAACGGAGGGCTCCTGGGCTGGGTGAGAAACGCACCAGGATTTGGCTTCGGCACCTAAAAAAGCTTCGTGAAATGGGTTTTAAAGTACGCGCTGAGGGGAGGCAGAGGGACCACGGGACACGTTAAAAGCGGAGATCTCGTCTCCGGCTCCGATGTACAACCCTATAACCTTCCCTTACGCCGCCTGGAGGTCTTCGTCCCCCAGAACCGAGGGGTGTTTCGAGGCACGGACGCTCGCCGATCCCCACGGGCAACCGCAAAACAACCTTGAGAAAGCTCCGCTGAGGAGAAGCGCCGCTTAAAATCTGCGCCGAATGCACAAGTAAAGAGCTAACGAAGCCGTCAGGAAGGACTAACGTGTTTTAAACAGCTCTAATGAACCCGATTATTGCTCCCTGCGGACTCGGCGTGGCTTAGAGCCTTCTACGGCTGCTCAGCAAGTCCTAAGTACCCTCAACAGCAGCTTCCAGTAAAGCACGTCGCGTCAGCAGATCGCTGCGGAAATAACCAGGTGGTTTTATGTGTTTTAGCACCGTTGGTAAGAGATCACGGCATGGAAACAGCCGGAAAAAAAATGACATGACTACTTCCATCCCCAAAACCGCTGGGAAAAGGCACGGCAGGCTTCGTGCCGAGGTGGGTAACGTGCACCTGGGCAGGAAGGGGAGTGATTTAAAGCCCCAAAAAGTCATCGTTGGAGACTGTCCTGCCCTAAACCGCTGCAGTCGTTCGGAGGAAAATAAAGCAGGGAGGGATTTGGTAGACCAAACTCTTTGCCGACGGTACCCGGAGATACGAGAACGGCCCGGGGAACGGCTTTAAAAAGTAAAAAAACCAAATCCTGCCACGCTCCTCTCCATCATCCTCGCCGGCAAGCTGCGACCGAAAAAATCCAGCCTCGAAACCCAACGGCAGCTTCTAAAATAAATAAAATACGTTCGCGTGACGAAGCCGGGTAAGGCGAGCTGCTGTTTCACGTGCTCAACTTCACTGAAAGCTGCAGATCCACAGGGGCGCCGGAGAAGTCGTGTTGTTGCAAAGCGTCGGCTCGTCGATTCGGGGCAAGAAGAGTCTGAAAAAGGTGGTTTGCGACTCACGGTTTGTGCTTCTCTCAGAAACGATCCAAGAAAGGGGTCCCCAAAATGCAGCAGGACGTCTGCCCGTGCCCTCGGCCGGCCATGAGTTTCTCCAGCAGCTTCGCTAACGCATCTGGAGGTGGAAAGGCTGCAAGACGGATGGACCCGCGGCCGTCACCTCTCTTAACGAACCCCAGTTCATCAGAGGAGACCCCAATGCCTCTTAACGAACCCTCATCTCATCGGAGAAGACCCGGGTCCCGCCCCGTTTTGCGCCAACACCCCGCCAAGAATGGAGGTTTTGGAGGAAACTGCGGCAGGGACGCAACGGTGCCGTGGCCGAGGTGCCGCCAGCTAAAGGGAGACGCCAAAAAACCCTGGAAATGCCAAAAAACCACCGGGAGGCGCCAAAAAAAGGTCAACAAACATCTCCGAGTCCACAAATCTCATCCAGGCAGGATGGGCCTCCCTTATAGGGCTACACAGGGGACCTCCTGTACCCCCCCTTGCTATAGCAGGATGGATAATGGGGGGGCTATATACCTCCCCAAGGGTATTTATGCCCCCCCCCCGGCTTGTAGGGCTGTATAGGGGGTAGACCCCTACCCTCAGCCTTTATGGGGCTATATGGGGGAACCTCACCCCTGGGGCTCTATAGGGCCCCTCTCATAGGGCCGTATGGGGAGGGAAACTTCCATCCTAAGGGCTCTATAGCTTCCCCTCTCACAAGGACATATTGAGGAGACCCCCACACACACTCCCAGGGCTCTATAGGGTACAGCCGTATAGGACCATAAAACAGGAACCTCTTCCCCCACCCACGAGGACATATGTCAACCCATATGGAGCCAAAAAACGCTCCTAGGGCCACCCGCACAGGGCCATATAGGGGAACATCCGCGCTCAGGGCTCTATAGAGCCCCCCCTCACTGGGCCATATGGGGGGGGGGCACCCCTGGGCTGTATAGGACCCCTCCCAGGACCATACAGGGGGGAAATTCCCACTCTATCAGGCCCCCTTCAAAGAACCTTATGGGGGTAAGCACACCCCCTGGGATCTATAAGACCCTCTCACAGGGATGTACAGGGTAACTCCCCCGCCTTTGGCCTCCACAGGGCGCTCTCACAGGGCCATACAGGGGGGGACCCCCATCCCTTGGCCTCTATAGGCCCCCCTCTCAGGGGACCCCATCCCCGGGGCTCTATAAGCCTCCTTACAGCGCCATACGGGGGGGGGGTCTCCCCTCACGGAGCCGCACGGA